TGGAGCGGGAAGACCTGAGGCGCGACGCTGGGCTTCGGAGCCGTGGGCCTCGGGAGGCCTAGACGGCCGGCTGCTCTGCCTCTGGAAACGTCTGCCTTGCAGGTGGCTGACTGGCCCTCAAAGCTGTGTGTCTGTCACCCACCGGCCTGGCCACCCCTGCTCAGTCAGCGGCTCCCCACAGAAAGGTCCTGGCGAGGAGTGGCTTTGTTTTGCTTTGTTTTGTCTCCACTACCTGCGAAGCTCTAATCTAGCCCTGTGGGGCCACACCCGCCACCCGGGAGAGGAGACCTGGGGAGGCGTGGGGAGGCTGGGCCTGGCTGCCAGGCTGCTTCCAGTTCTATTTCTAGCTTCGTGTCCTGCGGTTCAACCCCAGCAAATGCTGAAGGGGATGTTCCTTAAAATGAAAAACAGAAGTCGCATGTCGCGTTCCCTCTCAGGGTCTGTGACTGACAGGAGTGAGGTGCTGTGAAGATGCAGCTGCGGTGGGTGTGGGGGGAGCGCGGCCAGCCATGCGTCCGCGTCCCTGCTGCTCCCCGGGAAGGGTGAGGGGTCCTGACCTCACTGGCAGGGAGGGTCCGAGCAGTCAGGAGCCTGACGGGATGCAATTGGCCATAGTGGAGAGACACCAGACAACCTTTTTTGGTGATCATTCAGTGAAGTGTTAGTTGCTCAGTCGTGTCTGACTCTGTGACCCCATGGATAGTAGCTGACCAGGCTCCTCTGTCCATGGGATTCTCCAGGCAAGAATACTGGTGTGGGTTGCCCTTCTCTCTCCAGGGGATGTTCCCAACTCAGGGATTGAACCAGGGTCTCCTGCACTGCAGGCAGAGTACTGGTTGTTCAGACCTAGCACGATTGAAAGGTTCTAGAATCAGTGGTTTTTCAGAATGAGAGGAAACACTCCTGCCCATGCTGGCCTGTTGGACGTGCTGCAGGTGGAGTTCGCCATGGGCGCTGGATGGACCGGGAGCCATGCATTGTCCCCTGGCTCCACACTGGCATCCAGCTCTGTGTTCACCAAGAGGACGGGGTCGGCACTCTGGAGGCGGGGCTGTGGCTGTCTTCAGAGATGAGACACAGTTTCATGAATGTCCGTTACGTTAAGGCTTTTTGAACAGGCTCTCCCTGGTATTCGCCTAGACTCCTGCGCTGTGAGTTAATGACACTCCTTGGCGGGCAGCCAGGCTCCAGAGGCAGCGGCAGAAAGTGTGTGTTGTGGGTGCTGAGCCTTTCGGTGCCGCCTGACATGACGTGAATCAGCCTGGGCATCTCAGGATTTTAAGAAAGTCACTGAAAATATTTTCATCCCATGTAAATGTAATCCCTTTGAATAGTTAAAGAACTCAGATTTGAATACGGTTCAGGTGCGAAATAAGCCCAAATTGGGTGGAAGTGGGGCGGGGAAGCAGGGAGGTGCCCCCCAGGGCAGGCAGGCCTGGGCAGGCTGGCAGCGACCTGTGGGCGTTTCGTCCTGCAACGGAGGTCTTCATCCCAGATTCTGGCTGAGCTCAGAACAAAGTTCAGGCACTTAGGGGTTTCGCTTCATAATTTATTTAATTAAGGAAAACTCGTGCGTATGGGGTCTTGTTTGTGTTCTAGTAAAGGCTCATGCCTGTCTTTTCCTCATTGAGCCGTGGCTCTCAACAGACCTGGGTTAAACAGTGGCACTCCTGGGAGGTCTGGGGGTCTGACCCTTGCGCCAGTCGCCCCCTCGGGCCACGGGCCGTGGTGGAGTCCTGTGGGCAGGTGGTGGTGGGGCCAGGACTTGTTCTGCCAACTGCAGGATTTTTCTTCTAATTCTTAAAATTACCTTCCTGCCAACAAATGGTAGTTCAGGGGTCAGATCAGCTGTAAGTCCTAAAATAAATGACATTTGCATCATATTGTTTGGCTGAGCAGATGCGTGGGATCTGTTCTCTAGACCCTGTCAAGACCCCGTGGGCTTCAGGAGCTGAGGGTGGCCTTCCAGCCCGCTGCGCCTAGTTTGTGCGCTGTGTGCACTTCCCGTCAGCCTCCTGCTTGGGCTCCCCTCCTGGAGTTGGCAACTTGTCTTTGAAGTGAAGTCCCGTCGCTGAGTGCTAAAGTCTCACAGTGGCCCCGGAGCGAGGGGTCCGGTTTGTGGCACAATGGCTCCTCCTGGGGCAGCTAGGCCTGGGGGCCGCGTCTACCTGGGGGCCCGCGCGGTGTCCCGGCCACCGGACAGGGCCGCCTCCAGGACAGACGTCACGGAGGCACTGGAGCGCGCTCGCCTAGCAGCTGCTGCCCCCGGGGAGGGGCCCCCGCGGGTGCTGGGCCAGGCTGGCCTGTCCCTCTGCTTCAGGGCACAGTGTGACCACCACGCTGGCAGAGGGGCCCGTATGTGGGCTGTGGGCGGGGAGCAGGGGCCAGGGTGGGTGACCCCACCCCTGAGATGGAGCCAGGTGCAGCACCGGTGGTCCAGAGGACCTGCCTGGGAGGAGGCCAGTCCTCGCTGACCCCCTGCGCTGCCTCTGTAACTCACCGGTGGTCTGGAAACACGCTGAACACGGCATAGCCCCTTGCTGAGAAATCCCTGCCGTGTGCATGGATAACGCAATCTGTTACTGTTCTGCTCGTCGATCACGCTCCTCATCACGTCTCACAGTCCAGGTGGTGCTGCTGGGCACTCCATCCTGGCCGGCCGGCCTGCTTTTGGTTGGACTGGTCGACATCTGACTTCTTACCTGAAGCCTCACCAGCGCTGGGAACAGCTGTTTGTTTTCTGAACGAGCAGCTCTGGTCAGAATGGTCTGGAGATCTGGGCCGTGGTGAAGGGGACCCTCCGAGCGGGAGGTCTGCACGTGGCTGGGACGTCCATACAGATTGCACCACTGTGGCCAGAGGGGCCCTTGGTCCTGCAGGCGCTCCTGCTGGACGCCTTTGGGAAGGAGCACAGAGCTGTGCTCAGGCTCCTGTGGCAATGAGGATTCCGGCTGACGCCACTGTCCAGTCGGTCCTGCCCTGGGGGTCGACCCTCGAAGGGGCCCCGGGGCCTCCGGTGGGCGATGCCCTACCTGTTGCCCCAGCCCCTCTGTGTCCAGGGCCTCTGCCGACCCAGGCTGAGGTGGGTGCCTCCACACCTGTCCTGAGGGCTCCCTGCGGGGTGGGCAGCCTCATCCAGGGCCTCAGTGGCCTGACCTGCAGCCCACGGGCCAGCTGCTTCTCAGAAGTCTTGACCGTCTCTTCTGGACATGCCTTTGCAGCGTTGTTAACTTCCTGGAGGTTTTTACAAAGATGGCAATCTGAGTCTCACCATGATTTTTGTGTTGAAGTGTCGGTGAGCCTGCGGGTGTTGGCGTGAGGAGTTGAGGGCAGCTTCTCCCAGCAGCCCCAGGAGGGTCCCTCCGTCCCCCTTGGGAGCGTGGGGGCAGGTGGGGGATGGTGTCTGCAGATCCCCTTACCCCCCACCTCCTCCCCCCCGGAGCTTCAATTCCCTCAGCTGCAGTTTCCCCGTTCTCGTCCTGCTCAGCCTCGCTCTGGGGCCGTTTAGATTCCGGCAGCAACTCTGAGCATCTGGACGCCTTCTCGAAATACAGCCTGCCTGCGAGGCCCGCAGGGCGGGCCTGCGTGCTCTCCCGGCCTGCCCTCTTGGGGGGCAGCTGAGAACAAGGTTTGATGGGACGGTATTTCAGAGTGTAAAAGCCGGAGCTCCTCACTAGCAAGGATGGTAAGGGCCTGGGTTACCAGAGGGTAGTCGCAGACTCCTGAGATAAGCGAGGATGGAAATAGATCTCCCCGATTTGGGGAGCTGGACCCGTTACCATTGGTAAATCTGTGGTGGTTGAGCCTGCACTTCGAGGTCCCTGATCTCTGGGGTCTGTCCAGGCAGGTTCAGAAGCCTAGAGGCTGGCTGAAGCATCTCTGGGCCGGTGTGCTGGGCCGGGGAGGTGGTGTAGCGTTTCCTCAAGTGGCTCCATTATTCAGAGACCTTGGGAGACTTGGCTCCAGGCTGCGGTCACGAGGAAGCAGCAGTTATGAACCGTCTGTTCAAATCGGAAGTCCAGGCGTGTAGCTTTGCTGCTAAAAGTGACTAATTACACTAGTAATGATTTTTTTACACATATTTTACTGAGGTTATAATTAGCCCGTAAAGATCTAAATTATGGCTGTGCATCGATACCCTACACTTCGCTTTTCTTTTGAACAGATTCTTGGGCCCCGAGTCACTATCAGAGGTTGTGTGAGAGACCCCGGAGTCTGTGCTTTCACCTCAGCTTTCTTTGTCTGTGGTGATCAGTCTGTTACAGGGTCTGACACCCTGGGTCTAAACCCCGTCCATCTGTTCATTTAATTGATCAAATCAGCACCATTTGGACTGGAAACAGGAGTGGATCACGGGGCGCACTGGGGTGGCTCTGATGCCCCCACCCTGCGACCCGTAGTTTCCTCTGGTGGGAGATATGATGGATGATCAATGTTATGGAGGGAAAATAAAGTGGGGGAGGGTGACATGCGTGTCGGGCTGGGGGGTTGGGATTGGGATAGGGTGGTTGAGGGAGGCAGTGTTTGAGTAGAAGAAGCACAAAGAAGGGGCCCAGTGTGCGGCTCTTCAGGAAGGATGTGTGGGCAGATGGAAGCCCCAGCGGGTGTGTGACCAAGTGTGAGACCAGGAGTGGAGAAAGCCGGAGCGGGGCCTGAGGGTGAGGCCAGGGCGGATGAGCAGCAGGGTTGTCTCAGTGGCCTACGGGGTCGGGGGGCGGGTGGGGGCCCGTCCCAGTGCCCTGCGGGGTCAGGGGTCGGGGTTGCGGGTGGGGGGCCCGTCTCAGTGGCCTGCGGGGTCAGGGGTTGGGGTCAGGGGTGGGGGGCCCGTCCCAGTGCCCTGTAGGGTCGGGGGGGGCCGTCCCAGTGCCCTGCGGGGTCAGGGGTTGGGGTGATGGGTGGGGTGGCCTGTCTCAGTGCCCTGCGGGGTCGGGGGTGGGGGGGCCTGGGGGTGGGCCCCAGACCCCCGGTCCAGGCCCTCACCATCTCCCTCTTCCCTCCAGAGCACTACAGCTACGCCGCCCCTGGCCTGGGTGTGGGCCTGCCCCTCTCTGCAGTGCATCCCTCGCTGCCTGCTCCATGCCACAACCTGCAGAGCTCGGCCGTGGGCGGCTCCACCGTGGGCTACGGAGGGGCGGTGGACAGCGGGCCCTCCGTCTGCATCCTGTCGTCGGGCGGCGTCGGGCCCAACGGGGCGCCGGCCCTTGAGAGCCCGCGCATCGAGATCACCTCCTACCTGGGGCTGCAGCACAGCAGCAGCTCCTTCCTGCATGAGGTGGATGTGGAGGACGTGCTCCCCAAGCGGTCCCCGTCCACCGCCACGCTGAACCTGCCCAGCCTGGAGGCCTACCGCGACCCCTCCTGCCTGAGCCCCGCCAGCAGCCTGTCCTCCCGCAGCTGCAACTCCGAGGCCTCGTCCTACGAGTCCAGCTTCTCGTACCCATACGCGTCCCCACAGACGTCCCCCTGGCAGTCCCCCTGCGTGTCCCCCAAGACCACAGACCCCGAAGAGGGCTTCCCCCGCGGCCTGGGGGCCTGCGGCCTGCTCGGGTCCCCGCGGCACTCGCCCTCCACCTCCCCCCGCACCAGCGTCACTGAGGAGAGCTGGCTGGGGGCCCACACGTCCAGGCCCTCATCCCCCTGCAACAAGCGCAAGTACGGGCTCAATGGCCGGCAGCCATCCTGCTCCCCGCACCCCTCGCCCACGCCGTCCCCGCAGGGCTCGCCGCGGGTCAGCGTGACCGACGACACGTGGCTGGGTAACACCACGCAGTACACCAGCTCCGCCATCGTGGCCGCCATCAACGCCCTGAGCACCGACGGCAGCCTGGACCTGGGTGATGGCGTCCCGCTCAAGGCCCGCAAGACCACGCTGGACCACTCGCCCGCGGTGGCGCTCAAGGTGGAGCCGGCGGGCGAGGACCTGGGGGCCACGCCGCCCACGCCCGACTTCCAGCCCGAGGAGTTTGCGGCCTTCCAGCACATCCGCAAGGGCGCCTTCTGCGACCAGTACCTGTCAGTGCCGCAGCACCCGTACCCATGGGCCCGGCCACGGTCCCCCGCGTCCTACACCAGGTGAGCGGGCGGGTGGGCAGGCAGGGCTGCAGCTTCCCGGCATCCCTCTGCCTTCTCCGGCCTGTGTCTGTGTCTGAATCTCCCTTTCTCAGGACCTGGTCACGTTGGCTGAGGGCCAGAGACCTCGTCTTCATGCGTTCTCTCCTTCCTAAAGGCCGGTGTCCAGACAAAGCCGTGTTCTCCGGTGCTAGGGGGACCTTCGGGCACATTCTCGGCCGTCTTGGGGTTTACGAATACGCGGGCTTGGTTTTTGTTTTGCTCTCTATAAAGCCAGGCGCGGCTCCCGTCTGTGTTTTCACTTCCCCTGCTTACACCTAATTGCTATCACTGCACGGTCGGTGCAGATGGGGCCCTGCTCACAATTCCCCGGAGCAGCCCGCCTGTGCCCGCACCAGCCCTGCTGGCTCGGGAGCGACACGGTCCCTCTCCTCGGAGACCGCCGCCTGGCAGGAGCCCCAGCTCCTCCAAGCCATGTTTTGGGCTGTTGATTTTTCTTTTTAACAGTGTTGGGGCTGCTGCTGCTGCTCCGTTGGGTCCATTCACTCAGCCTGGGGTTTTATTTTTAACTAAACAGCTTTCCCAGCAGGTGGACCACTAATGACCCCTAGCCGAGTGCTTTCTGCCCCAGGACTTTGGTCAGGTGTCGGCCATGCGCACAGGCCCTCCCTGGAGGCCCATGCTCTGCTGAGGGCTGTGGCCGCCTCCCGGGAGGAAGCTTCTGCCTGTGGCTTCGGGTGTTGCAGGCTTGTTGCTTCTCCTGTTTGGTTCTGGAGGCAGGACTGCATGTTGGGCCTTGTGGCTTCCAGTCGTCCTGTCCAGACCTTGAGGAGAGTGAATCAGGGTGTTACTTGTTACAGAGTTTTCTGTGTTCTGTTAAGAACCCCCCTTTTTTCTAAACTAAAGATGCAGTCAGAGCTGTAAGTGGACAGTTTAGTTCTCGGTGCCAAACCTTTACAGAAGCTTGTGGCAAAGAAGCGGTGTGAAGGGTGAATTTCTAAAGCTGAACACTTCCTTTCCGCTGGCGTGGGTAGCAGTCGAGAGCCAGAGGGCAAGGGGGCCGTGATGGGTCTCGACTGGCTTCAGGATGCATCCACATAAAGTTGAAAAAGCTGGCATTTCCAAAGTTACATTACTGTCAGGTGTATCTCGGAACCTGGATTTCATTCATGAATTTGGGAGTTTAAAAAAATCCATTTGGAGGCATTTTAAAATGTAAGAATTTTTATTCATGCTCTCCTTATAATTATTATCTAAATAAAAAAAGAATATATCAAAGCACCCTTCTCCAGTTTAGAACGAGGCTTCAGTGAACTTGCATGGTGACATTGGCGTGAAGGTCCTAAGGGTTTGTGAGGAGACCATGATCCTGTATCTCCAGGAGCTGCTGGGACCTAGCCCCACTGATGGGGCGGTTTAAACAGCAGACGTGCCTTCCTCGCAGTCTGGGGCTTGGAGCCCACGGTCCAGGCATTTAGCTCCTTCTGTGGTCATTGGACAGGACCGCTCCGGGGGCTCGCCCTAACTTGACGGCCCCTGTAAAGACTGAGCCTGCAGGCGTGGGGGTCTTCTGCTGTCTCGGCTTAGGACTCCACCCTGGAGCCTCTAGGGGGAGCAGCTCGGCCTGAGACCCCGGTGAACGGGGCAGCTTTCCCGAGCCCCAGTGGTGGGGTGCCTGTGGGAACGCACATGGTTCTGAGGGGTTGTCAGCGATGGAAAGCACCAGTGCTGCCTTGTCTCTGCTCAGGGGTCTTGGTGACAGCTCCGCGGGCCAAGTGCCCTGCTCTGTCTCCTGGTCCAGGCCCCCTTGGGTGGCGGCCCCCAGCGCTCCTGTGAGCTCGCGCCAACAAGCCCCACACTTCCTCCCGGGCTTGAAGTCAACTTTTCCCACTGTTTTGGTTCCACATCAAAATATGTTTCCTGGTCCCTGGCGATGTTTTCCGTGTTATCCTGTCCATGGGCGCCAGGGGCCAGCTGGAGAAGGGAGAGGTCGTGCCATTGCCCTGGGGGGTAGTGACCACACTTCCTGCCCTTGGACGTTGCCGTGCATGCCCAGGGACTGGTGCAGGGAGGGGGCGGCACCCGGTGTCAGCGGGTCTCGGGCTGCATGGCCGGGCGCCTGGTGGTGACAGGCTCCAAGGTCTGGGATGGGCGGCTTAATCAGGACAGATCATCGCTGCCCCCATGGGAGCAGACAGTCCCTCTGGGCACGTCCACGTCTATCCTGCCAGCGAGGGGAACTTTTTAACGAGATGTGTGCGGCGTGGGTTTCTTCCCGAGGAACGTGGGGTCCGTGGGATCACTGCCTCCAGCACACGCAGCCTTCTATTCTGCATGGAGCCTCCGATAGGCCCACGGGGTCAAAGATGATTCCCAGTTTCTGCCACAGAAGGAGTCATGTTTGTGGAATCAACAGTGTTGTTGGACAGAATGGTGCTCTGCTCCTGAAGCTTGAGAGATGCAGAGGAGTCGCAGGTGACCCGTCTGAAGCCTGTCTGTCTGATCGGTTAGCCAGGCCATGGGGGGCCTTTCCAGGGAGGGCTCCCCTCTCCTATCCTCGGATAAGAATAAGCAGGTCCGCCCACGGTGCTGACAGTGACGCTGCCCCTGGCCATGGCAGAGAGGGCAGAGATGGCCGTGGACTGACTCCCGCTGGTGGCTTCCAGGGGCCGTCATTGTCCTGGAGGCGCTCAAGCGTAAGCCTCTGTTGGTTCAAGCAAATGCTTTGGAGCTCCTGCCCCGGTGAGGGTGTCATCCCTACCCAGGGCCTGCTGCATGCATTCAGGGAGCTTGTTCTCCCTTTGGAATGGGCTGGTGGAGAGTCCCGACTTCTGAGGTCTCATTGCTGTCTCTGTGCCCAGCACAATCTCTGGATGTGACTTCAAGGGGCAGGGTTACATGAGGAAAGGACTGGAAGGAGCTGGTCTGGGAAGGCAGAGCATTTTGAGACGCGCTGTTTCTGACAGCAGCAGCATCGAATTAAATCCCTACAGATGAAACTTTGTTGTGATGTGAGCATTACTGATTTATTTCTTTGTTAGCCGTGTCCCGAGGCTTGGGGCATCTTAATTCCTGGACCAGCCCCACGCCCCCGGCTGTGGAAGTGCGGAGTCATAACCACTGGACCCAGGAGAGTCCCTACTGCAGAATTGACTTCCTGAGGGCGAGGGCGCGTGATGACGCCTCTGTTTGTTCTGGTTCAGCGACCCAAGGGCTGCGCCTCCCAGTCAGTGTGTTTCAGACATGGTTTCTTCTCGGTTTTGGGTACAATTGATGAGTTTAATGATATCCATGACCTTCGTGCCGCGCCCAGGTCTTAGCTCCCAGAAGCCTGATGAAGCTACAGCTGATTGACTGCATCTTTAAGTTATCTGAATATTTTAGAGTATATTCTAATTTGGGATAAGATTAAATAAAGCTGTACACTGGTACCAAATCCGACTGCACATCATTCCACCGGAATGACCTCCCTGGCCCCAGCCGTCTACACTCGAGCAGTTTGCATCTGGCCAGCCCACCCAAGGTCTAGGACACATTCCTTCTGGGTTATTTTCCCTTTTCTGACCTGGCTGAGGAGTTCGTCATCTGGAGGTCACAAAAGGAAGCTCAGCAGGGACTCGCCTGGAGAGTCTCCTGGTTAAGACTTGGCACTTCCACTGCAGGGGCCACGGGTTCAATCCCTGGTCCAGGATCTAAGATCCCACGTGAGGCAGGGACAAAAAAAATTTATACCCTTCTTCCAGTAAAAGGAAGCCGCTGATAGTAAGCTTTAGAAAGAAGCCGGTGAATGGAGTGGTCTCCATACGTCCCCCCAGCGCTTACAGGACCGGGGGGCCCAGTACCCGGGCCACTGTTCAGGCCCCTCTGGTAACAGGTGGGGCTGGACTCAGGCCATGATTGGTGGACCCCTGGCTGGGCCCCTGCTCCCAGGAGTCATGATGTGTTTGCCTGCTAGACTGGGGGCTGTGGCGGTGTCGGGGGTTGGGACCTCTTTACAAAGTCCATGTCCTGCTCCCAGGGTATTGGCAGCTGCACAGGGAGGTGGGAGCCTGGCAGACTTAGGCCTCAGGAGGTCAGAGGTTGACCATGGCCTCAGCTGTGCAGAGGTGTCTGCAGGTGAACTTGGTGGCCAGGGTTGGGCCTCGGCTGCGAGTTTCTGCAGATCGTGCTCGCTCGCTGCAGGAGTAGATGATCTCAGAGGCCCAGCACCTGTCTTCTCATGAGGAGGCTCTCTCTGGCTCCTCAGAGTCCACCGTGGACCCTGGACACAGCGCCCCGAGCGCTGACTTCCGGCAGGAAGGCATAGCCTCGAGGGTTCAGCTGAGATCTGCAGGTTTGCGGCAGAGGCTTCTCTCCACCTTTTGGTCTTTCCTCGAGATGCAGGTGGAGGATGTGGGCCTGATTGCTCTTTTTATTTTTTTTTCAAAGATTTATCTATTTTGTGTTTTGGCTGTGCTGGGCCTTTGTTCCCGTGCACAGGCTTTCTCTAGCTGTGGCGAGCGGGGCCCCGTCTCACTGGGCTCTCCGGCTTCTCGTGGCACAGCAAGGCTCCAGGCACGCTGGCGCAGTAGTTATGCTGCACGGGCTTAGCTGCTCCATGGTATGTGGGATCTTCTTGGATCAGGGATCGAACCTATGTCTCCTACGTTGCACAGTGGATTCTGCATCACTGAACCACCAGGGAAGCCCCCGGTTGCTTTATTTGATGTTATCCTGTGAATGTTTGGACTTCCCTGGTGGATCAGACAGTAAAGCGTCTGCCTACAATGCGGGAGACCTGGGTTTGATCCCTGAGTCGGGAAGATCCCCTGGAGAAGGAAATGGTAACCCACTCCAGTATTCTTGCCTGGAGAATCCCATGGGTGGAGGAGCCTGGTGGGCTACAGTCCATGGGGTCACAAAGAGTCAGACACGACTGAGCAACTTCACTTGTGAATGTCTGGTATTATTAGCTATGAAAAGGAGAACAAGGATCTCAAGGACTTTTGCATTCCTGGAGCGGA